AAAAAAAGAGCCGGTAAGGAGACAAGAGCTCCAACGAGCTTCAACATGCGCTTTCATTCATTTCCTCGCCCCAAACTTCATCCGCCGTCACGTAGGTCTCGTTTCAAGTTCATTTGCGTTGAAAGGCAAGGCTCGTTTGCGAAATCGAAGCCAGCGAAATGAGTGCTTTAGACATTGAACCCGACCTGAAGAGCGCGTGCGTGCGTGCGTGCGTGCGCGTGAGCGCCGGGCTGCAGTGCGCGGAGTTTGGACTTTTGGCACGTGTGCACGACTCGCAACTTGAAGTGTCACGAAATAGGGATGCTCCTCCCGACTCGACTCGCTTCTCCAACGCTTCAAAAGTTTTGCCGGGTTTTTTACTTGTTTCTCTTTCGATGCGTTTGAGACGCTTTTTGCTCCTGGAAACAACCCGTTTCATCACGTTCGGAGCCCGATTGTCAACGCGCAACCCGTACGAGGACAGTTCCGAGCAGTCACAAGTACACAAAGCGTCACTGGAGTGAGCGATGCAAAGAGAGCCGGTTTATCTCTCGCTCATTTCCATGCCGCCTGTTGCGCCGAGAAGGCCGGATAACTCCAGATTTGCATTTAAGAGCGTCGAGATGTCACGTGGACGGAAAATGACGGATCCATCGAGACTCCGATCCCAGAGTGGCTATTTTGCAAAGCCGAATATCAGCGAGAATGTTTTACAGCGTCGCCGTCGTCAGTTTGCCTCAAAACGTCCACGAGAAAGTGCGCAGATTGATCAATTAGCGCGGAAGCAAGCGGGAGACGGCGTTGACCTTCATATTCCGCGTCTCCCTGGCAAGTTTCAAGTGTTTTCTTCCCCCGGTCAGGGCCCATTAACCCAGGTCGGCCCTTAGCGCCGTCCATTGACAAACAACAGGCGGTAACAGCTCGGCCCCTCATTCATGACGCAGAGGGAGAGCCCTGGACAATGTAGGACTGAACAGACGAGCGGGACAGCTCACAGGACATCTGGTTCAGAATGCAGCTGCTCCCAGTCCAAACAGTCGCTTTTTAGGTTGGATCGTGCGGAGTGCCCGGTCCCCATTTTTGTTTTGCCTTCGCAGGTTCCAGACTTGAGGACCGGCGGCGCCGCCGCCGATGCCAGGAGCCGGCGAGTGAGGCCAGGTCTGGGCTTCCCGCGTTGACGTCGTAGCCTTGGAACGAGCCTCGAGAAGATCGGCATGGCGAGGCTCTGCGCGTTGTGCCTGCTCCTGCTCTGCTGCTCAGACCAGCTCTCGGCCAGGTCCCGCGACGGAGCGGCAAGAACCAAAGGTAAAGAAAAGGAGGAAGGCGACATGACTTTTGTCAACGCGGGCATTGTTTTCGCGAGTGGGAGTCTCGTATCCGACTGCGGCGGCAGATGCCTGGATGACGGGCAGCAGTATCTCTGACACCGAATTGGCTCTTCGATATCAATGCCAAGATCGGGTACTGGCACCAATCTATCAGCAGGAACGCTTTGCTAAAGAGCCTGAAGACAATCCCGAGTTGGGTGGTTTGGACCTCTGCCTCACAGCAAGAAGAACCCTGGTCTGGTTTTCGGGTCTACGCCGCAGTCGTTCCCGCGTTAGTTTTCTGTCGCCCCCGCTCGGGGGGCCTTTACCATCCGACCTCGGAAGAGAGGCGCGGTGCACCCTCGACTTGGTTTTCAGACACGATGCATTCACACTCACACGATGTACAATTTCGAGTCTTCAATGAACCCGACGTGTGTTTTTCCAATGTGGAAGGAAGCTGGAGTACCCGTCGAAAGCCACCCTAAGCGCAGAGAAAACACGCAGACTCCACACAGCGCGACCGGAGCCGAGATTCAAAGAGGCACTCAGGATCGTGAAGCAGACGTGCGAAGCATCGGGCCACCCCTGAGTGAAAAACATGTTCATTTCCGCCCAATTCCCTTCACTAAACCACAATCTGGATGCGCTCCTGCATGGCAAAAAGGAGATATGTTGGATGGAGCCAGTGGGGGGGTGAGGGGGGGGGGGAATAGGCTCCGCTTGGGTCTATTCCAAAGTAAGTTAGGTGCTTCCACTGTAAGTTCCAAGTCCCGTCACCTCCTGCGAGATGGAGAGCACAGGGGGCAAAGTGTGTTTTGGCTGCCGGGAAAAGTGCTACCCGATCTGCTGCGAGCCCCGAGGCTCGGAAGTGTCAATCTGCCAGGTCGCAGGCCAGCTGCAGAAGAAGAAGAAGAAGAGGAGGAGGAGGAGGAGGAGGAAGGCGGCACTGATGTTTTCCACAGATGGAATTTAATATTGGGTGTTTCTGGGGTGTCGAGGGGACCGGCAAAAGACAACGTCGGTGCTTGCTGGGGGGCATCCAGCATGGAGGCGAGGCGAGCTGGGGCTTGCTCCAGAGACATCCCCCCCCCACCCCTCCTGGACTTTATTTGCAAGGCACATGAATGAAGATGGATCAGAGATAGACCAGGACTTTGAGGATGCATTCCAACCTTCCGCGGGAACGTGTCAGGTGCAGACGACGACCCAACCAAAATGCTCTACACGGAGCAAAAATAATTCGGACAACAACAAGCAGTAAATGAATAACAAAGAGAGTCGAAAACACAAAAACAGTCAAGCTAAAAATCAAGTCTGACGCAGAGTCAAAAGCCAAAGAATAGAAATGAGTTTGAAAAAACGTTCCGAACGTTCATTCCAAAGAGAGGGAGCGGCAACGGAAAAGGCTCCATCCCCTCTGAGCCCCCGCTTTGGTCCAGGTACCTCCGATAGTCTTTGGTCCCATGCAGACCCGAGGCAGCTGGCAGGGGTGGAGGAGCTCCGAGAGGTAAGCTGGGGTCAGGCCTTTCCCCTTCCGGCGGTGCATCTGCTGGTCAGGCCATTGAGTGGGAGCACCGAGAGGCTCGTTACTCGGACAGCTTGACTCGAAAGCCACTCGGGCGATTCAGACTCAATTATTTTTTTGACGCCCGGCAGCCTTTGCTTTTGAATTCTTGCCCAATTTAGTCCGTTAGACGGCGAGTTGAACTGCCGGCCCGCCACCCGGTCGCCTGTCTCGCAGTTTGTTTGTGTTTGTGCCTTGTTTTGTTTGCCCCCTCGCCTCGGGGTGATCATTCACACCCCGCCGCAAGTTCATCGGCAGGGCACGGCTGTCCCCGCCCCTGCAAGTTCATTACCGCGAGTCCCCGCACGGCGACGACCCAAGCGTCTCCCGAACTTTGGGAATCAACCGATTTGTGTTTCCGTGCAGTCTGCCGTTTTGTTTTGTTTTGTTTTTCCTCCCCCTGCAAGGCTCAATGTTGCGATTGTGCATTTTGTTCCCGAGTACATTAGCGGCGTGTGTACTTTGGGGCAGTTGGTGAAGAAAAAAAAAAAAAAAAAGCTCCGTACTTCACTCTGACAGGAGAACAGATTGCCTTTTCACTAAGCGCTCGCAGGAAGCAATCAAACAGAAAATTGCCCTGGAAAATTGCTCGTTCTGAGTGACTGAGCGGTAATGGAGGTCCCCGGCCGGGGGAGCACATATGCTGCGAGCGCAGCGAGCGAGCGAGCACATGAATGGAGCGAGTGACCCGATGAATGGAGTCCACTGTGGCCGATGGTGACACGATAGGAGCCAGGTTATCTGCGCACTCTATCGCCACTTCCTGGTGGCATTAAGCCGCCTCAGTTGGATAGGAACACAATGTTCTTCCGACGCCGGATGTTTCGGGGGCCAACTAAAACCGGCGGGATCTGCAACAGCGGTTTTGTTCTGAACACCTTGAGGGACCCGGATTGAACAGTACCTATAACATTTGGCATGTGTTTTTTTTTCACCTTCCAGCTCTTCAGATGTCCAGACCTCTGATCGTGGCAGGTTACCCGGAAAACATCACAGCGACGGTGACCGGTCAGGCCAAGCTGCTGTGCAAAGTCCACCGGCCGGCATCCACTCGGGTGCAGTGGCTTAAGGTGGAGCTCGGGGGACCGGGCCGGGGCCTCAGACCCCTCACGGTGAGCGGCGCTCAACTGTCCGACCGCAAAAAAGTAGCCTCTTACCGAGGCGCCGATCTAAAAGCTGCCTTGTCTTCAGCCCCTGCGGAGCAACGCATCCAAGTTGAACACCTTGCATCTGTCCGACATCAGCCGGGAGGACGCCGGCGAATATATCTGCGTGGCCGAAAGCAAACACAAAGGGAAAACCGTGCAAGCCATGCGGTCGGCGTGGCTGGAAGTCCTGCCAGGTAAGACGTCATCCTTAAGTCCGCTGGCTCACTAACAGTCAAACATCAACAGCCTTCACTTGTAACACGACAACCCTCTTGCGCAGGTCCCATCGTTCCCAAAATGGTGGACATGACAGAAACGATGATCGCACAAGGTAACGTCATGCGCCAAAGCTTTTACCAAACTGAAATTAGGTGGACACGTTCATCGGAAATATGAGAGGAACGGAAGCAAGTGAGCTCCAGTGAACCTTCACCACCCCCCCTTGGCTTTGCGCTCGGTGTACTGTCACACTGCGACATGTTCATTAGCTTTATTCTCTCCTCCTCGCTCCTTGGCTCTGTTTGTTTAAAATGAACTGAGAGGGGAGGGAGCTTCACGGTGTTCGCTCGAATGCTCTCCGGCCCACGATAATCCACAAAAGGGACAACAAACTGAAGCGGCTCAAGGGAGTGGGTGGCGGTGGTGGGGTCAGGTCGGTCAGTCAGACCTCATCTCCATGGCAATGTAATTTGTTGGAGGGTGGGGGGGGGGAGTATCTCACTGAGCGGCGAGGGCTCGCCAAGTGCTAGCCAACGTAGGGGAATGATTTTTCATCCGGGTTGGTTTCGTTCAAGTTTTTGGTGACCATTCAAACCGTTTGCAAATGGTCTGGTGAACATCTTTGGAACCTTTTGCAACCTTGAACGAACAACATTCGGGCCGTTCGTCAACACGGGGAGGTCACCCGCTGACTAACTCGGCTTGATTCAAACGTCCGCAAGTAGTTGCCGTCCAGTCCTGAGGTCAAACAGCGACGTTAGCCTCGGTGGGAGTTGCACCATAACCTTTTGTGCTCATTCTAAACAGACGGCCTGATTGGGGACACGGCACAGCGTCTCCTGCTGGAGCCGGGCGACGTCCTGAAATTGCGCTGTGACACGCCCACTCGGCCGGGCATGGCGGTCAACTGGTACAAAGAGGGAAACCGGCTGGTGCCCGCGCCCCGAATCCAGCTCCGTGGCGCCGTCATGGAGATCGCCGACATCACGGAGGAGGACTCGGGAGTCTATGTGTGCGCCCTGCGCGGAACCAGAGGGCCCGTGAAGAACTTCACCGTCACCGTGACCGGTAAGACGCAAAGGAAATAACCAATCCGCACCTTGGCGTTGGCGGTACAGTGCAAGTTGTATCCGCCCGGGACACGGTCGCTCACGAAATCACGCCACGGCAAAGAATCAGCTGCCATTCACTCGTCTCACTTTGTAGACTCGCTGGGCTCAGGAGACGATGACGAGGACAACGGCTTGGATGACTCATCATCCGAGATCGAGAACGACCAAGTTTACCTTTCTAGAGGTGCGTTGGTGGTCGGCGGTGTCGCTTCGTTGTAAAGTCCACCCAAAGCTGGAACTTGATGCGTGGTCTGGTCTCGGCAGGTCCTTACTGGACCCACACCCAGAGGATGGAAAAGAAGCTGTATGCCGTCCCGGCGGGCAACACAGTGAAGTTTCGTTGCCCGGCCATGGGTAGCCCTTTGCCCAGTATTCGGTGGCTCAAAAATGGCAGGGAGTTCAGAGGCGAGCACCGTATCGGGGGCATCAAGGTAACGCGATTTCCTTTTCTTCTTTGGATTGCCCCTTTCTGGACGAGTACGAGTCATCGCCTGATGTTTTTTTGTTCATTTTGTTTTTTGCAAGCTGAGGCATCAACACTGGAGCTTGGTGATGGAGAGCGTTGTGCCTTCAGACAGAGGAAATTACACCTGCGTGGTGGAAAACAAATACGGCGCTATTTCTCACAGCTATGTCCTTGATGTCCTAGGTAAGATTCAGAGATTTGAGGTCAGTCCAGGGAGGGGGTCGGTACGTTGTGGGGGTTCGCCCCCAAGAACATTTTTACAGCTTCGGAACTGGCTCGTGCATGCAAAAATGCTAAAAAGTAATGTTTCCCCGGGCTGAGGTTATAAACACTCAGTCCATAAAATGAATGGGATCTTAAAAGTTTGGATTTCAAGGCAAGCCGTGCCATCTGACTGAGCGTATTCATGGCGGCCCCAGCGGCGGTCATTACTTCGCTCTTGTGGAAAAATCCTCACGCCTCTAAATGAAAGCGTCCAGTGTGAGGGAGAGGATAAT